ATCATCATACATCAAGGCTATAGGTCTCCTGCTAAAGTCTTATTTCATCAGGATAAGTTACTAGGATAATGATTCCACTGCATCTGAGCTGTCTGCCACCCATCATAACCCTCTGAACATGAACTGTAATCCTCGTATACATACTCGTATAGCAAATATGCGGGGCTTAACATATACAGTACTCACCATGAAATCCATTTGGATAAGCACATTCAAAAGTCTCTTTAAGAGAGCAGACTTCTTTTCTAGCTAGAAAAAGATATAAAAGATACTTTTTAGGCTAGCTTGAAAAAACCTAGGTTCTTATACGCGGGTTTTTACTGTATATGGTTGAGGATTGTATAGAGCTGGGGCGGCTCTATTAGTTTTGTATGAATTTCATGAGGCGGGTTGAACGGTTCAAACGCTGAATATTGAATAATAATGGGGCCTTCAAAACTGTAGCTTTCTACAAGTTTCTTGTTTTTAGGGACTTACGGATTATCTCCGTYAGTATTTGACAACCACATGCTTGTGTGAGGTAATTCAAGAAACATGACATACTACAAGAATAAACGGAATATGTTTTGTTATAGGTCTTGGAGATGTCATCCAGAGGTGAGCTGCAATTTGCTTCGAAAGGTTGCTTTAAGTTTTTCATCTGCAAAGCAATGAGAATATATCATGTGGATTCATCCTTTGTATATAACTCTACGCATTTCCCCCCCTGAAATTCTTTTCCTTTCCTCAATAACCCCGACGTAATCTTCTGTTGTTTTTTTGTTTTTTTCAACTATGTCCGGACAACATTCTAAATCCACGTTTACACCTTTTTTTTGCAGCGCGATTGTAGCTCGAAAATCGTCACTTTGCTATCGCGCAACTCAAATCGTACGAGGAGACAACCCTGTGCGCGGTTGATGCGTTGATCGGAAATTGCCGTGAAGTTGCAGGTAAATTTGAAGCATGTTCGAAACTCAGGCGATGGCCGTGCGACGATCGTCACGATAATCGCCCCGACAATCGCGCTGCAAAAATTGGAAATGTAAACGGGCTTTWATTAAAACGATTCGTTCAGTAAGTCACTTTAATGATGGTCATTTTACTCGTGAGTTTTTGTAATTTACWTTGYTAAGGTGGGGCTAAAAGTATTTTAACACATTAATGTGTTAATTGGGTCTTAAATTGCACGCCCTAAAAATCATGTWTATAATTAAAATAAAGTATATTAACGCATATAAAGAGACACTTATTGCACTCTTGAGAGAAAACAAGGCATCGGGTTGCAGTAAACTCAATAAATGTTCATTAGTTAACCTATWCATATAAGAATAGTCAATCTTTCAATTGTCTTTTAAATTCCATATCTAGAATGAATTTGTATTTTGTGGTCATAACATTGCCAGAAATTTGGGACATTTATCAAAAATCATAGAATGTTATTATTTTTTAAGAAAAAAAGTACAAATACGACTTGAAAAGACATACTAGAAAGTACTAAATAAAGGCTTATAAAACAGAAATATTATAATATAGAGCGATTTTTCAAAAAAAAAGCTCCAATTTCTATTATTATGTTTCGCCACAGGAAGCCCAAGAGCTCTAAATCCACTGCAAACGTGAAACGCCTTGCAAGAGTGAAACTCCAGCTGAGGTTGCTTGTTTAAAYATTCAAAGAATACATCTAAGGCTCCTGTTGATGAGACCTGATCCAAATGTAGTAATTTAACAGTTTTTTTGGTGTGCACGTCTGGGTTASCTGTGGAAACAACATGGCTCCTTGATATTGCAATGCTTCTCGAGGAACCACGAGGATAATATTCTAGAAGCTCTGTTTATGTCTAAAATGTAACCACTGCATTCGCGATTATTATTCGAGGTAGAGAACAGAGAAATATAAAGAATTAGATTTCGTATTTAGGAAAGTTTACCGGCTGTATGGCCGCCAGTGTTTAATATGCAAAATGCGCATGCCCGACGCCATTTTGTCCGAAATTGCTGGCAATGTGATATCTGGGAACTACTCCTAGCAGCATGACGATTTCTGAATAATGATTACAAAGATGTCAGAAATTCACGAACCTTAATTGCTCGAATAGCAGCAAATGTGTGGGTTCCAGGCTGCAATGCAAAACCAAATTCCTCCACAACTGGATATTCATCTTGATGTTGTATGGAAACTTTAAACCCAGCGATGTTGGAGTCACCGACATGATCTTCTTCCTCGACATTCAGGCGAAGTCTTAAACCAYTCGTTGGCCCAGGGATATAAGACTTTAGGCGTTCATGACCTTTTTCCCCAGAGTTGAACGTAAAACATTGACCCATCCTTAAAGTGACAAATGAACTGAAATTTGCAGGCAAGCATTTAACTCCTCGCCATACACAGGGTTCAATCCAATCGAACGACAGCATGCCTTCTATTTTGTGCGAGTAGTTTTTCAAAGTATTTTGAAAATTATTTCCTCGTCGATGATATTCCTCAGAAGCGTTTAAAAGCTTGAACATCGAGACCTCTTCCTTCGATCTTGAAAATTTCTGATCACCTGATCTCGGCTGCAATGATGCCATAATTAATTGAGCCTCTCTGTGCAGTTCCTCTTCAGACATGTTTGCACGATACGCTCGGATTGTCTTGGCATATTCCTTCCTACTTATTTGATTAAAATTACAGATGGTTACTGCTGGAAAATCGATCTCTTTTATTCTTTTTGTAATTACTGTTGTCGAAAATGGTCGTTGGAAAAACTGTACAAAAGTCGAGTGTATTTGAATGCCACAGAATGCGAAAGCCGTCCCCAAGGCAAGAAGCCATATTACTCTCACCACTCCTTTTCGATGGACAAGAAACCGAGCACCATGAAGGCTGGTCTCGCTGCAGAACTGCCGAGCATGGAATTTGAAAGAACTATCGTCAGCCAGTTCATCAGCCATTTCGCTCTGTCTTGGTTATCTTATGCACCTGGTTCTATTATTCATGATTAAAAGTTTGATTAGAAAGTATTGACGTGGTAATGTTGTATTGTATTGATAATGTTATTTGTGAGGCTTATAATGATTATAATGATGTTAGGTGGATATGTACTTTTTGACTGTTAATTTGAGGTGCTGTATATAAAATCACATCTACAAATTAGACTGTATTCGTTATTTATTATTTAACCCACCGGGGCTAAATTCACACATTAAAAAAAAGGGAAACAAATTTAATACAAATTAATGAGTAAACGAGTGATTTTATGGTTATCTTCAATCTGATGACTAGATTTCATCTTGCAGCACTGTATCGAAATACCTAAGTAGGCTCAATGTATTTTCTGGTGATGCTCTTGTACTAGTCCAGCATGCAATACTTTAAGCTTATGGGAAATCCTGTTGATGTAGTTGATATTATACAGTGTGATGAAAATACTTCTTGCAGCATCAACAACAATGAAGGTGATGGTCGATCTCTGTTAGCCTGGTTGAAGAGACTTGTCTTTTATTTCCTTGCTTACTATATTGTCGAAGCGGCGAGACGTTTCCATTAATCTACATTTTCATATATATGCTTTTAGTGTATTTAAAATTGCTAAATTGCTAAACTGGGACAATTTTAATAAGTGTAAAATAGTTTTTAGTCTAGTGTTACAGTTCTTACTAATACTGGAGATGTTTATTTTCTACCATGATAGACATTTCAGCTTTCATTGACAAAACATTTATTTAAAAAATTAGTCCCCTCCTTTAATGTATGGCCAAAAAAATTGACATCCCCTCTTTTCAGTCCATAAGTTTTCAGCCTCCCTCCCAAAAAAAATTCCTCTGTACTCCCCCCTGTATTATACATGAAAATGCAGTCTTAGATAAGGGTCTCAATGAGGTTAACCGCGAGCCGTGAAAATTAGCCGTGAGGCGTGAATATTTTTTTATAGCGTGAGCCGTGATTCAGTTTTATTCCTCAGAAGGACAGTCAACTCCAGGCGCGCGCTTGTAATTTTTTTTTGTAAATTTACAAAATAAAAGCTCTAGTGGAGATTTTTTTTTAATTTTGCCTTGCAAGAATTTTTTTGCGGGCCGTGCAGAAATTCTTTGCCAATGTCTTGCACTACCCCCACCCCTTCAAAATTCAATGAATCGCACCTATCAACATGGGGACACTGTGCTCCAACGCTTACCATCTTTAGCACAAAACAAATTACATGAAAAAGTAATGTTGTTTTCATTTCAAAATTTCTGAAAGTAATCTAGTTAACCGTGAAAAAATTAGTCGTGCGTCGTGAAATAGCCAAATTTTCATCCGTGAGTCGTGATGCATACTACCCCATTGAGACCCTCTTAGATCAGAAGAACCCGAAAATAAACAATGAGCAATTTTAGTTCATTTAGCAGTGTTTAATGTCTGCAAGCTGAATGTTTCTTGATAGTACACGTTGGCTGGACTTGGTAAATTTTAATTTTTGAAAGTTGTTTTTTCTAGTCAATCGACTAAACGTCAGGCAATCGATTTTTTTTTAAACCGTCGGAAAAACCGTTATTTCAATTAATGTTACACAAGAGAAATACAATAAAGACTGAAATAATACAAGTATTTTTGTATGCACAACACAGCACTTTGAGATTTTTTGATTGCCTCTGACGTTTAGTCCCAGAACTAAAAGTCAGGCAATCGTACTATATTCTCCCTGACAAAATGTCCCTCTCATTGTCTCGTCTGAGTTAAGTTATGAGGAACGCGACTTTGCCGAGGAGCGAGAAGGCATGAGCAATGTGGAAGGTTGCCGTCGCCAAAGGGGAGGAGGGAGGGTTAAAACACTAACTTTGACCTAGCGCCGTGCAATTTGTCGAAGAAGACGCTGTTTTAATGGTTTACTAGCATTTATGCCTTCGATAGCGTCCCCTGGGGTTTATCCGGATGCACGCATTGGTTAGGGCACAGGTAACCCAGGCTCAATAACTTTGTATAAAATATGTCGTTCGCACAATTGTTTTTTTTTTTTTTTGCCTAAATAATATTATTCTGACATAATAAAACGTCTTTTATGTATGAGTCAATTCCAAAGGTGCCCATTCCCCCCCCCCTCCCCTCCGGGCGAACCAACGGGCATTTGACTTTTCGAAAAAAGTGGTCAAATTCCCCACCATATGGGCAAAATTGACTGTCAAATGCCCACACTAAAAAGCAAATGAGTGGTCAAATGCCCGCCCCAAAAGTCAGATTTTTTACGCTAGTTTTCGAGTGTTTTTGTTGCTTTTTATATCGTGATTTCTCATCGTGAAAGTACAAAAGATCGAGAATGTTCCCAAAAATGATTGTAAGCCTCGTGGCTGCTAATAGCGATCCGTGATCATGTGAAGCGCCTTTGAGCTGTAAGGATATCGGCGCTATATAAATAATACACATTATGATTATTATTAAAATGATTAAGTTCCCGAGATATTTTTATTTTTAACTTAAGCTTAAAAGTTCGTATTGTGTCACGAAATAGCGGTTTCGCATCTGAATCGATAATTTCCAAGATGGCCGCCTACTCGTCAAATGCCCGCTCGTCTGCTCCTAAATCAGAGTCAAATTCCCCACTGTACAGAGGTAAAGTCGTGTCAAATGCCCGGGGTTTGCCCGGGGGGGATGAGCATATGGAACTTATGGGGGACAAATAGTCCGTGATCACTCAAGCTTGACCTGACAGTCCGTATGAAGTGCCAAATTTGACGAAAAAAGGCCAGATTTCAAGGCTTTTTGAAGAAATGCGGCGACATTAAAAACAATCGTAAAAACCTAGCACCGGATTTAAGAAAAAAAAATCTATATGCGACCTTTCTGGGTATTTTTCATGAGAAAATTCGAAAATCCAATCACGTATTTTTGCCCTTGAAGAGTTGAAGTTGAGCATTAAAATAGTATGGCGATCCATGTTTTCACCATAGTTCGCTCCAAAAAACTGGGCCTCGCGTATAACTTATTTTGTTAATAAAAAACCTAGCACCGGATTTAAGAAATAAAATGTATGTGTGACATTGCTGTGTATTTTTCGTGAGAAAATTTAAAAATCAAATTACGTATTTTCGCCTTTGAAGAGTTGGCGTTGCTTCGCATCCGTTTGCGTTTCGGGATTCCTGTCCCGACGATGAACGGATGCAAAGGAGACTACTTCTGTAGGCACAAGCAACAAAAATCAAACTTGAATTTTTCAAATTATTGCTTTCTTATTATATGTTGAAAATGTACTCAAAACTATGCAAAAAAAAATTTATATCAGTCAGTGAACGTAACTGTGATATTATATGTACATGTACTTTCCTTTCTAGAGGTGGCTTTGCTATTAATAGTATTTAATGGTCAGATGATGATGTTAATGAGGTCCATCGACGACAAAATATTAATTAACTCCATTGTATTATATTTCATGAGGTAAATAAATAAATTACATGCATATATACATGCATGCATGGATGCATGAGTGAGCCTGGACAATAATCTAAGCAAATGTCACCCGATGTATGGCAATAAGTTCCATATGACCTTTGGAATTGACTCATCATTACCTTCCTGGAAAGATTTTCAACCAGGAAGGTAAGAGACGTTTTATTTATGTTAGAATGATATTATTTAGGCAAAAAAAAAAAAAAAATTGTGCGAACGACATATTTTATACTAAGTTATTGAGCCTGGGTTACCTGTGGTTAGGGTTAGTTTGAACGACAAACCGAAAAATAGAGGAGCGAATACTACGACTTATGGAATCGGTCTATATTTTTCAAAATACAGAACAAAAAGTCAAACCTGAATAAATTTTATGTCCATAATTCAAGAACTAAACTAAAAAGAAGCGAATTATTTAGAAAATGACAAGCTCTCCGTCAACATTTCGCCGGGGATCAATATGACAACCTGTCAATGTACGTGAAGGATATCCCATAGAGATTGCACAAAACCATTTAAAAAATCCAAATCAGAATGATTGTAGGAAGACTTTTTATGTCTTAAAGAACATTTTTTTGAAGCTCAATAATTAGTTTACTGACTGTTAATTTAAGTACACAATATGCAAATGTATTCGTCTCGCCGTTAGAAAAATATGACGATTTTGTCTTACTTTCGGTTAATGCATCTCCACCCAAAATAATTATGCAAAGGAAATTTCAACTGAACCGAAAGTCCACTGTTTTTAAAGTGTTTTTTGTTTGAAAATATTTTTTATATAGCAAATAGAGTTTTTTTTTTACTTTGTGCATACTTTTAAAGAATACATCTCTAGACAAAAAAATCATAGAAAATTAAATCGAAATATTTTATCAAACTTTCTAAAACATTGCAATTGTGAGTTCTTTGATTTGAAACAGATTGTCGGCGTGAATCTTGCATATTTGTATCAACAACCATCTTCCTCAATTTTCTCCAAACCTAAGTCGTATTTAATCAAGCAAACTACACAGAATTTATTCTTATATTAAGGCCTATCTATGGTTGAAATATGAGCAGATTCGGATTTTCGACCGTTGCCGCCTATAAATGTTCGATTCTTGCTGACAAAAAATTGATTTTCAAACTCTATTTTCTAAGATATAGTTTGATGTTTTCGGACGCTACTGGATTTTTATAGATTTTTATAACTTTGTTCTTTTTCCCTTTTTTCAATAAAAAAACAACAACAACAAACAAACAAAAACCACAGCACACAAAAACAGAACAACAAAAAAAACATTGTACTGAAATTGCATTACATACCTATAGCGTTTGTCCGAATTTCCACTAGGTCTTTTCAACCTTTTGTTTTTTTATGTCTCGAATTCATTGCAGATGCACATTATGCACGGCTCTTGTGCTCTGAAATTTAATTGATTTTTTTCTGATATGGCATGAACGCGACACTATTAGCGAATGCCCTTTCATTTTCTCTCGATGATTACGAGCGTTTCGCCAAAACACCCGGTAAAACCCTAACTAGTGCTCATATGGGAATGGGTGCATAAAGAAGAGAGTATAATCACGCTTACCAAGAGAGATACATCCGTTATTATATGTAGTGTATAAAGAACGAAAGAGTGTGTTTTATGTAGTGTATAAAGAACGAAAGAGTGTGTTTTATGTATGTACAAAGAACTAAAGAGTGTGTTTTATCGGGTGATAAAGATCCGAGCCGAAAAAACACTCCTACGAAAAAACACTCCTACTCGTTTTTTAAAGATCACTTAAACACTGGTGTTTTATGCATGATTGTTATAACTAACTGAATCGTTTAGGTATAAAACTCATTTTTAATTAATCAGGGTTGGTAATTTGAGTTATAGGTTCTGTCATGTGACCCATAGGTGCCCATTGGAAGAATGTCTAATGAATAATTCATGATTTTCAGAAAGGACAGTTATTGCTCAGCTATCTACTTTGCATTCAAATTGCACCGTTTTAAGTGCATCAGATCCTATCCATGGTGGTCATTGGTTGATATCTTTTGTTTTGTTCAGGATCTTGTCTTGTATTTCAACTTTTCCTGTCATCGTTCTTCAAATTCTTGTTTTCCACCAGCTTTAGTACTAGGTTTAACCACGTCATAAACAGCATGCACTCATATCCACCTAATCTAATTTGAATACAATGTTTCCTTGGTGTGAATACTAACAGTTTGTGTTGCCTATGCTAGCAGTGCTTTTGTGCTTGCGTCTTCCTCCCTTTAGTGGTGGCGAATCCCTTTGGATAAGGTACGAGCTTTCTATCAACGACTTGTGTATCATCAGTTACATCATCACTCCCTCACCTTGGGCAACTCCTCCCCCTTTAGGTTTATGGAAGTATTCCTTCATCTTTGCAATGAACCTCCATACTGCCATTCTGTAAGGTTCTGACGCCCTTACGTTGGATGCAGCACAGGGATTTTAAACAAATATGTGCTAATTTTTCGCATCAAAAAGGAGGTTGCTATTTTTCATATCATGTGCCGGAAAAAATATCAACTTAATGGAAAGATCAACATATAACTTTAACCATGATTTTTTAACTTATAAAGTGCGTAAACCTGCTTTATTTACTACCTCACTTTGCGGTAAACTGCCTTCTGTAAGGTTTAACAATACCAGGGCAAATATATTGATGGTTTATGTAACAATACACAATAAAGGCAATGATTCTAGTGAAATCACGCCAATAGATTTGGCGAGGTATTACACAAAAGCAAAACAATAAAGCTAAGAAAACAAAAAAGACGAATATAAATAAACAAAATAAACAGAGTAAGTTATATAAATTGTTATAAAAAATGGTATAAATGGTATAAATATCGATAAAAAATGTTTTTTTTTATCACTTCGATCTCTTCCAAAATTTTAGTTCTGCGTTGCTGCGGTTTTGCTGCTCCGGCAGATCATTTTGTAAAAGCAAAGAAACAGAAAATCCAAAAATTCAAGGACTGTAAGGAGACTCATTCCAAGAAAGAGGCCAAGGTATCCACCAACGGTTCCTAAAATACACGCACAAAAAAATTCATTGGCTCTCCGCATATTTAACAGAGAAGCATCTGTAATGTATGGACTATATGATTACATATATGACTTAGATTCGGTAAACCCACAAGTAAAAAGCACAGGGATTCTGCAAGAGTGATATTTAAGTCATTGATAGGTACTCTTAATAGTGCCATCATTTTTGGTCCACCTTGAGAGGTAGGCTTTCATTCTACAAAATTTTATACTCCCTCAATCCTTGATACCATCGGATAACTTACTGCGAAATAGGWTTAACTTAAGATTAAAGCGCTATATGCCTCTAGGAGTATGAGCACACATGCAATAGTATGAAACTCATCCATCCATATTTGGGCTTGGTCATGAACAGAGGCGGCCGATCCTAAGCTTCCCTATTGGATCCTATTGCCCAAGAATATACAGACACGGCTCTTCTCATTGATGGAACTTACCGAAAAGTGATGTCGTTGATATTGATTCCGTTTGATTCACGAGATCGTACTTGATTTCCTCGAAATACACRTCCAACGAAACCATGTTGTTTCTAAAAATAGAAAAATGAAGAAGCTGTATTAACGCTATATATAATGGTTTAGTCATTCTTTCAATAGTTCTTTCATTATTGATAGCCTAATTTGCCTGTGTCTAGATCTCCTATTCCAAATTTTCATTATACGAAGCAARTGGTACATGCAACCCGGACAAACCTGATTTACCTGATATATTCWACTTTCTCCTCCATTGTCATGTTTTGGAGCGTTGGTGACTTAATTCTTTTTATAAAGGCCTTGCTTGATGCACTAGCATAGGATAGCTTAGTCTCGTACACCATTTGTTCGCATGGTTCAGGACACTTTGCCACACAGTCCCGGACCGACTGGGGACGACGCTCTAKTGAAWTTGATAAGAGAAACTTAGTCATCGCCACAGAGAAAACCAAGGGGAATTTAACAGAAATGATTTCCATTTAATATTATGTACGAAAATTCCTTCGGTGGAAATACTGTCCCTTGACGTTTACAGGATAATTTGGATTTAATCCTGAGAAATCTCTTTTGGAAAGTCTCTGTAAACAAGGGAAACGTTTTACCTGTGATTTCCCGAGGAATATGCAAAGACTTGAAATTTATGACTTATCAACCGACGTAAAGCGCAGGGGCGGATCCAGGATTTTCCTCAGGGAGGGGTGCTGCAGGGCTCTCAGGAGGGGGTGCACCTCCGACAAAAATCATTATCATGAAGATACAAAATACGGAAAGTATTGAAAGATACAGATCTCAGGAAGGGGTGCGCAATATCCCTGCAACAACCAGCTGGATCCGCCCCTGAAGCGCTTCTCATCCGAGACGGAAGAAGTACACTGCTATTTCATACACCCTGTCTTTCTTAGTAGGATTAAATAGTGCAGGTTATGACCTGGAAATATATACTGTGTGTGGTCGGTGGAAAAGACTTACTCGCTTATAATGTCTACGTCGCTAAAAATTCAGGTATTGTATTTCATAGCAGATTTAATTCGGAATTAATATGACGGCTCTTTTACCAAATACACTACTTTTACATTACTTATTGTAGCTATGAATCAGTGGGTCTTTGTTGCGAGGTACCGTTTCCGACGTATACTCACCAAAGACCTTTGGATAGCCACACTCGAAAGATTCCTTAAGAGAGCAGACTTCTTTTCCAGCTGTAAAATTAACAATGTACTGAAAGTGCTTATTGATTCAAGAATAGCTGGATTTTTTTACTAATTACAAGGGTTGGTGCGCGCACCTAAATAGTTCGTTATTTACTGCATTATTGGATTTTTCAGGGTTTTTTTCGTTTTCAAATTTCGGTTGATTAAACAATGCAAAATTAAAGTCAGATTTCGAACTCTGATAATGACAGAAAACAATACAGCATTTACAGCTTTTTGAGACCGTCATTCCTTTCTCACGAGAAGGAACAGATCCAACCAAATTAACAGACATCATATTGCAATGCATCGACTTGTGGAAATTACAAAAGACCAGCATGTTTACAAGCGAAATACAAAGAAGGCTTTATGAAAATCCGATCAACAATCTAATTAAATTTCGTTTTAACGTTGATTTCAATAAGAATGTAATGTTGAATCGACCAAAAACCGAATAATGAATTGAATAATGGTGTTTTATAGGGGGCACGCTTCATGTCTTTGACTGTAATGGTAATCGAGACTTCTGTACTAATGCAAGTTGTTCATCAAAATTCTTGTTTTGAGGGACTTACGTATTATCTCCATCATCAGTTGACAGCCACATGCTTGTGCAATGTACCTCATGAAACATAGCAGACTACAAGAATTAACGGAATATGTTTTGTTGTAGGCCTTGGAGATTTCATCCTTAGGTGAGCTGCATTTTGCTTCGTATGGGTCTTCTAACCTTTTCATCTGCAGGACAAGGAGATGCTATGATCAGCTTGACGTATCACATTCACATCCCCCCCCCCCCCCCAACACACACACATTCTTTTCCTTCCCCTCCTCCCATACTCTTCTCTTTATTCACTTATGAAGTTCCAACCTGTTCAGAGATAGCGGTAAACCTCGAAATATTTGTGAGATTCGGAGTATGGACCCTACAATTGCACTAGATGGATAAAGCTTGTTCGGTTCGAAAAATAATGCTAGGACTTGTCTGATYTGAATAAATCACTAACCTTAAATGCTCGAATAGCAGCAAACGTGTGGGTTCCAGGCTGCAATGCAAAACCAAACTCATCCACACCTGGATATTCATCTTGATGTTGTATGGAAACTTTAAATCCAGCGATGTTGGAAGTAGAGTCACTGACATGATCTTCTTCCTCGACGTTCAGGCGAAGTCKTAAACCATTCGTTGGCCCAGGGATATAAGACTTTAGACGTTCATGACCTTTTTCCCCAGAGTTGAAGGTAAAGCACTGGCCCATCCTTAAAGTGACAAAGGAACTGAAATTTGCAGGTGAGCATTTAACTCCTCGCCATACACAGGGCTCAATCCAATCGAACGACAGCATGCCTTCTATTTTGTGCGAGTATTGTTTCAAAGTGTTTAGAAGTCGATTCCCTCGTCGATGATAGTTCTCAGAAGCGTTTAAAAGCTTGAACATCGACAACTCGTCGTTTGAGCTTAAATCACTTTGATTACCTCTCCTCTGCATTGACGCCATTGTTAGCTGAATATCTCTCTCGAGTTGCTCGTCGGTTTTGTTCACTTCATATGCTCGAGTTGCCTTGGCATATTCCTTCTTGCTGACATGATTAAGATTACAGATTGTTACTGCAGGAAAACTAATCTCTCTCGGTCTTTTTGTAATTATAGTTGTTGAAAACGGTCTTTGAAAAAAATCGTGAAAGGTCCAGTAGATTTGATAGCCACAGAAAGCAAACGCCGTTCCCAAGGCAAGAAACCATAAAAGTCTTACCACTCCTTTTCGGTCGAAGAGAAACCGAACACCGTGAAGGCTGGTCTCGCAGCAGAACTGCTGAACATACTGACATTTATTCTTCCCCGTTTTGAAGGARTCATCGTTAGCCCGTTCAGTTGTATCAGCCATTTCATGCACTGTCTTGTTTCCGTCAGTCACTTCGCTCTGATTCACGTTGACTTTAAATTTGAAAGTATTGACGTATGATAATGTATTTTATGATTGCGTTCTGCTGGGTTGAATATAATAGGGATTCTAACAATGTTATATTATTATGGGAGACGTGCGGCGTCTCGCACTGTTTGAGATGATGTTATATTGCATCTGAAAACTGGATCAGTTAAAGCTCTAAAATAAGAAAGCAATTTCAATTCCTATATGAAGGTTTGATAGTATATTTTTAAAGCGGCCTGAAGTGTACTCCAGATCAAATTAAACTGGAAAATACTTCTGTAGACTATAGCACAAAAATTGTTTGTCTTGCTTGGAAAACTAATGAAATTAATTATTGATCAAGTTATCATTGACATTATATTGGTTTTTGAGTTTTTAACTTAAATTAAAAAACAACCTGATTCCTGATTTGAAATAAATTTTTTGAATAATCGCTTTCTTTCCGATCTGCTTTGTACTTTGCTATCTAAAAAATCTAAAAACAAATAATATAATATCATTATTTAGAAACAGCCATACAAATGCAAAAGATCTGTGAGTATAGAATACAATGAAACATTATTGTACATTAGTTTTTGCACACAAATTTTATCTAAGATTCCACATATATATATTCTACACACATTCTAGTGTACAAGAGATTGCGAAACTCAACTATTTCTCAGAAATCAGCTTTCCTTCCCGAAATTTTTTCAAATGCGCGCTGTCTATGATTTCACGTGTTCTCCAGTATGACAAAGATCCTTCATTTTCATGGCAATTTGTCATTTCAGTTACATTATAGATGAATGTTTTTCTTTTTTAAAAGCGATTATGATGATGTCGTGACCTTTGGACTACTCCATACATACGGCGTATATTTCACATGTAATTGAGTTCTTGAAACTGTTAAATTGGACATTATTTTTTAATGAAATACGATTTCAGTCCAATGAAGTTTGAGAAAATGATTGGCAGGTGTTTCATGCGGCGTACTTCCCATGTATTCTATGTTTCTACCAGAACAATATTACAAGCTATTAAACCACGATTGTAAATTTTAGATTTATTAGCAAATTTCTCAAACTATTAATTGAAGTCAAAATACATTTCTTGTAAAATTATACTTTTACTTATTTTCAAAAAAAATATATTTCCTTGAACAAACATTTCTTTTTTGATTTTTTGAAGTTGTTCAGTTTTATATATCCCAAGCCAAAGCATTGCGGTCTTAAAATGCTCTATGCAGCTGCATGCACATTATTTATGACTGACCGTATTAAGCATATCATTGTTGAAAAGTGTTTTAAAT